GTGTAAGCTAGATTTATGCCTATTTTTTCACATCTTCATGGACACCACAATGATTTCCCTCGTGTGGTAATATTTTTCCTTGGAATTATGTATGGTTTGCGAAAATGGGAACTGCTGCGTCTGTGTATGAGAGAAGCAAAGTGCATACGCTACTTTATGGCCAAGCATTCGCCCTTAAAATAGCATCTGAATAACGTGCCACTGACTTTAGACTAGGTTTTTCCTGGTTCTGTGGCGGAATTGTTTTCTAAAACTGCAAAATAGCATCAGCGAACGTTTGCGCCGGAACACGCCTCCTTTTATCGCTGAACCGCCCCCAGGGGCGCAAATTCATTCCCTAATTCCCTTCTGTGGAGGGAAAAGTCCGCTGTGCGTCAGGTGCAAAATAGGAATGATACATGCGTCGGTGTACACAGTCAATTGCGCTAGGTGCAAGATAGGGCCCTAAGTCTTTACTGTTACTTTTGATCAATTGTCCTTGGTGAATAAAAGTATTACTTTCTTTTAAAAAAAAAACCCAAAAAAAACCTTTTGAATGGTAGTGTACATTGTTGAAGAACTTCGGATATGAATCTTGGGGCACATGGTATTAAAAGTACGATTTGTATTACGCCAATAATACAGTACATATATGGCTTAGTTATCAAATTTAGTAGTTTTTTAAGTTAATATATAGAAACCGACATGTTTTGTTTTGGTTTGTTAAACCTTAATATTATGAAGCGACGAGAATACTTTTTGTTCGCAAAAAACAAACACGTCAGAACGGCGGCTCATTATTGGCCTTCGCTGTTCGCGTGAGCACCACGACACATGTTCTGACGTAGAACCCAGAAGCGATGCACTGCATGAACAGCTTAGGAGACTGACACAGAAGAGAAGAAATTGTTGAATAAAGTCTTTATTTTTGCTTCATAACATTAAGGATGAAGTATTTTAACAATGTTGTTGCTACCTTTCTGGGCCTTGAAAGTTGCAATGAAAGTTGCAAGTTGCCTATGGCTGGTTCAGAAACCTCTCGGATTTCATCAAAAATATATTTTTTGTGTTCTGAAGATGGGTTTCTTATGGGTTTGGAATGACACAAGGGCGAGTAATTAATGACAGGAATACATTTTCGGGTGAATTAAGGGTAAGTAAGTGGATAAGTTCCAAAAATGGAGGTGATTTTCAGGGTAAGTAGCCATATCAACTTAATCTCTGAACATAACCCGCTCCGGAGCAGGTTCTGTTCCAGGGTTAGTTTACTTCAGAGGTGTTCAGTGCATGTGTGCTCATATTGATAAGGCTCCAGTGGGCATGATATTATCTATACTATATATATATATATTAGGGCTGTCAGTTAAACGCGTTATTAACGGCGTTAACGCAAACCCATTTTAACGGCGTTAATTTTTTTATCGCGCGGTTAACGGTCTTTTTGGCCTAGCAAACTTTGTAGTTTTTTTTTCACATACTTTTGCAACAGGACGGCATGCGGGCCGCTGCGCTATGAAACCCATTTATTTCAATGGCTTGCGGCGCGCGAGGACGTTTTGAAAGCGCAAGCGGATCTAGCTAGACCGGAAACAAAACAATAGGCACGCCGCACACACTTGTTTGGGCTTGCGAGCCGGATGCGCAAGCGCGAATCTCTCTGCTCGCGCGCGGATTGGAATATAATGTGCCGAGCACGAATCTCTCTGCTCGAGTCGCGCGCGCTCTCAGATACACGCTGCTCTTGTAAGAATTTTCTCTGGGCTCACTCAGAGAATATGCCTGCACTTAAAACGTGTTCAGTGCAATCGCGAATCTCTCCTCTTCCCCAGCTAACAATTTTAGGTTATAAGAATGTTTTCATAACGTTCCCATTAAGTTATAAAAACGTTATTTCTGAATGTTATAGGAACGTTCAAAACGTCCAGTTTTGAGTGGATGACGAGCGCGAGACGCCGAAATGGATGCCAATAAGATTCTAAATGGAAAGTTTACTTTTAAAAAGTTGCCAAATGGTTCCATTGACAAGACCAAAGTGATCTGTGTGTTTTGTCGTTGTGAACTGAGCTATCATCATCGCAGCACGTCCAGTCTGAATACCACTTGATGATGGCCAGCACACACACACACACACACACACACAGCTGATGCGAATTCTCCGCCCCCTCGTCAATATCAGGACCTCGTCAGTATTTATTTCACCCTTTTATTGATGGGCAGTGTTATATTGTGTGAGAGATTATTTGCTCCAAGTGATAATGTTTTAGTGTGAAATTGAACAGTATATGCCAATATTGTTTTCAATAAAAAACATTTGCACAAAGCAAGCCGGTCCACTTTTCCATGTTGATAAGAGCATTAAAATGAGAAAAAAATAATGGGACAAAAAGAAATCAAGAGACATTTAGAATAGATAAAAATGTGCGATTAAATGCGATTAATCGCGAGTTAACTATGACATTAATGCGATTAATCGCGATTAAATATTTTAATCGTTTGACAGCACTAATATATATATATAGTTATATTATATATAAAGCACTATTAAAACAAGGTAATGTTTATTTTATTCTGATAAGAAAAATCTCATCTCACACATCGTTGATCTGCATTCAGAAGATTTGTTTTTTGCAGCAGCAGCAGCAGGACGTAAGCACATACTGTTAGTTACGTAGTTTAGTCAGTCTTTCTTTTTATTATATAATTAGCATCAAACAAACAATAGTTCTTATTCCCAGTGATTAAAGATTATTTAATGAAAAGATTGAAAAATGATTGCACAACCACCAAATAGATGGCGATATGCACTCTATTATATATGCAGTATGTAAATAACCATTAAACAAAAGAAGACGAAGTAGTAAGGCATGCTTTTTCTTAGTGTTCGTTTCCATGGTGACTCATCAATTCGTCGCTCTGTTGAAAATGTCTTGTGAGTTAACATTGAACATACTCCGAGTTTGCTGAACTTACTCTTGAACGCGTTTTTGGAACCAGCATACCTTGAGTAAGCAAGGTTTAGGTTAGTCAACCGAGAGTTCAGGGTATGTTTGACGGTAAGATAAACTTGCTTTTTGGAATATTTCCTTTGTTCTGTTTTCCCACTCTTTATTAGTTACTATGGATTTTGATTAGACCTTTACACCTGTTCTTTTTTCTCTTGATTACTGCCTGTGTTTATAAGCCCATAGTTTCCTTTGTTCAGTGTTCGGTCTCGTTTCAGTTCTATGTGGTTTTGCCATGTTATATTTATCCTTTTGATCTCCTAAGTGTTCCGGTTTAGGATTTATTTATTTTTATTAAAGACTATTTGTTTGTGAAGTTCTTAAACTTAATTTTCGGGAGGAGTGAACCCATCTAATCGTTCAATTAACTGCATCCGCTTTTTTGCATCCCTCCACCTCCCCAACTCCACCAACATAATTTAGGCATCTTGCTACTAAACTCATCTTACAAGCATTAGTAGTTCCACTATGTGGTATATCTAAGCTTGAGTTGAAGCTGCTTCCTAGACAGTGTTAATTTTGTCAGCAAATTTTGATTTAGTTTTAGTCTTAGTCTTTTGACTAAAATGCCATTTAGTTTTAGTCATATTTTAGTCATCTGAATTGTTTTAGTTTTAGTCTAGTTTTAGTCGACGAAATACAATAACATTTTAGTCGACTAAATCTACAGTAGATTTAGTCGACTAAAATATAATGGGTTTAGTTCAATTGTAATGCGTTAATTTAGAATTTCTCTAAAATTTCCAAACCCATACTCCCGGAGAAAACATCTATTAACCTATTAATATGAATGATTTTTAAGTTTGAACATGCAATACAGATACAGATTTAACTACTGTGACTTAAAAAATATCTTAAAATGAAATAAAACCACTTTTCCTAAAGTACAACACAGTCTTCTTTACGATGAATGATATATTCATTCCTTATAACTACTTACACATCATTCTTTATTCTTTCAAGCAGACATATTTATTTGTATGAATTAAATATAATTAATCCTTATTAAAGCTATTAACAAACAGTGAATGCTTTTCTCTTTTTCTTTTGTTGCTTGATCAAAATTAAGGACACAGACCGCATTAGGTTTATTGCCACTGTCACTTTAAGACGTCGGATCATGTCCAATGACATGCGGATACAATTGCACTGATGCACATCCGACACACTCACAGTTTAAGACATAACCAGCATAGTTTACATGAATACTCTCCAAAACGGACATTTAGACATACTGTTGTGTATTTCTCCATTCAGACACGAAAGAGAGCTCAATTCAGTAGCCTACTCGCGCGCTGTAGGTGTATTGTGCATGACTGCACGCTTCGGGTTAGGTGTGTGCGCACAGAAAACCGCACCGAATAGAGCTCTTTTTTGCATCGTCACTCTTATTCAGAGATCTATATGTCTGCCCTACTCATTCTCTCAGACGTTCACATTTTTTAACGTTTTATGACCGCGGGGTAGATCACGTTACAGTAGCCTACAAATGTGCGCATCTTCCACACACGCAGGACATCAGTTCTGACGGATCGCTTCCCAAATCGTCACTATCTAACATTTTCGTCTAGTTTTTATTCGTTGACGAAAATGTCAATAGATTTTCGTCATAGTCTTTGTCATTCAAAACTAGGTTTTATTTAGTTATCGTCTCGTTTTCGTCTGTGAAAAAATGTCGTTGACGAATAATTTTCGTCGTTATTTTCGTCAACGAAATTAACACTGTTCCTAGAGCTCCTCCACTGCGGACAGCAAGCCAAATACGTTTAACCTTAATAGCTATATAGGCAAACAAACTCGTGAAATCTCCATTGTTGTGTGTTTACCACAGCAACCACACGTTACAAGAACAGTAAGAACTAAGTTTAGAACAGAATTAAGCTTAGAAATCAATTCAGTATGGATTTTATGCTGGTTTGGTGATCTAGCTGCTCGACCTGCATGCTAGTGCCCAAAACGAAACATATCCTGGTTGAACATACTGTCTGCTTGTGACCAATTGTTCTGAACGTGACTTACTGGAGGTAGGATCTGAGACTGGGATATGAGGCTGTTGGGCAGATTATTTATGCGGCTCTCTGTGATGACCTCTGCCCATGTGACCTGATAACCTGTGACCTGTTGTGGTGGTTGAGGCATGGCCACCACCCATGAGAACAGGCCTGTCACATTCCCCATGTAGACCGAGAACGCTGCCGTCAGGTTCTCTGCCCTGACCAGGACCTTTGGAAGAACCACTGCTGATTTGAGAAAACAAAGAATCATATAAGAAACATAAAACCATATAAGTGTAATATGCATAAAGTGAAATATGTCACAGTGACATAATATAAGTAGTTAATGGTTATAATCTATTATTGTTTCTTAGAAAACAAAATATTTTAAACAAAACTGCCTCACTGCTTCTTAATATATAAAAATCATATGGCTGTATATCAGCCTATATGTCATAGGCACGAGGCCGAAGGCCAAGGCCACATCGAAATGTTGTATATATATATACAATATATATACAATATGAACTTGACATTGGCAGGTGGCAGGCTATGACGTCACCACTGGTGCGACTTTGAGTATAAAACGTCACCTGTGAAATGGTCACAGTCTCCTAATGACAATAAAGAGGTTGTGACCATTTCACAGGTGACGTTGCAAAGGAGACTGTTTGTTTGTACATAAGTGAGGAGAACGCGCATTTAGCTTCTGAGGGAGCTGAATGCGTGCATTACATGGGTCTCATCTCGCTATAGAGAGGATTTGGGTGGAATGCTGTCTTCTCTTCGAAGAAGCTGGATGCGCTAAGTATGAAGCATTCACAAGACTGACTACATGAGACATTTTTTCTGCTCTCTCCTGAGGGATAGTAGTTGGTGTTTGCACGAGCACGTTCGGCTGCTCTCGAGGGAGTTTAAGGCACTCATAGTGATGTATTCGTGTCTGTTCTCGTATGATTCTTTTCAGAGTGATAGAATCTGACGCGTGAACTTGCACGGCTGACTCTCAAAGGGGTTAAATGCGTGCTTTTTGCTATGCGTCGCAGTAATTGTTCCACCTGGGCTTGACTCTCTCCTGAGGAAGGAGAGTTGAGCGCCTGCACTCCGCTGTTAGGGTTCCGTGGCACCCATTACAGTGAGGCGGGATTTAGCATGGGGGTAGTAGACAGAGCAGGGACTAGTCGAACAGAATGTTTCCTTTTTTGGCACCTCTTATTGGCTCATGAGACAGTCGTCATGCTGTCCTTAGAGATCAGCTAGGCAATGCGCTAGGTTGATAGGCTCACTGTGAGTCTCCTTGATTACTGCCTTTACAGTAGCGGAGTGTTGTTTGGCCTCCTCTCTTTATATAGACAGTCACTTTTTCAGGCCCCTGCTCCCTAGAGCTCCACTGAATAGGGGGTATGAGTTAGGCTTTGCAAAGCCTCCTTGGTAAGGTGTTCTGAGCGTAGCACGCCTCTGTACCCAGAGCTCGGCAGGCAGTAGTGCTGTGTTTGGGCTCTTTGTGAGCCTTCTTGGCCACTGCTTTCAAAAGGAAGCTGGTTGTGAATGTGTTGTCTGGCGCTAGATAGATTATTAAAGACGTAGGCTCTTTAGTGAGCCTCCTTAGTTTCTATGGAGCATGTTATGCCCTCTCGCTATGACTGGCATTTTTGCTTAGGACATTGCTAGGTCTCCTCTTGTTTTAGAGAGTTGTCATGTTAAGGCCTCTGTCCGCAGAGCTCCTACATACAGTGGTGCTGAGTTGTCAGGCTTTTGAGCCTCCTTGGCCACTGCTTTTAGGAAGCGCCATGGGGCGGCCGCGCCGTCTCAAACCCTTGGCCTTAGCGAAGCGAGACCTGTGTGTAGGGAACCAGTGCGTTTTCCGTCCTGAGGTTTAGCCTCCGCTCTTTTGAGCTTCACCTACATGAATTGATTAAGCTCCTCATTATGAGAAGGCCCCTGTTTTTTAGTAGGCAGTGTTGTCAAGTCGTTAGGCTCCCTTTGATCCTTCTTGGATACTGCTTTTATAAAAGATATTCCGAGTTGTTGGCTCGTTTTAACACTCCTTGGAGCTGCCCTGGGTATAGAATGTAGTCAGGCCTCATCTCATTTTTGAGAGTCAGCATATTGAGGCCTCTGTTTTCTGAACCAGATTTGGGCAGTAGAGCTGAGATGTAGGCTCCTATGAGCTCCATTAGCTATTTTAGTGTCAAGTTGCTATGCCTCTTTTAAGCCTCCCTGACATGCATTGGATGTAGCTAGGCCTCCTAGCTCATTATCTTAAGGCCTCCGTCATCCGAGCTCAGCCTGGGTCTAAGTTGTTAGGCTCTCTGCAAGCCTCCTTGGAGGCTTGCAGCTTGGTCAGCTCCTTGAACCAGAGCGTTGTTAGGCCTTCTCTCACTTTAGAGAGTCATTCTATTAGAGACCTCCACGCCTCTGAGCTCCTCCCATTATTGTGGCAGGCTGCTAGCTCTGTTATTTAGCTTCCTTTACAGACGTAGCACGTACTGTATTCGTCCCATGAGCTCAGGCATAGGCTAAGTGGTTAGGCTCTCTGTGAGGCTGCTTGGCTACTGCGAGTGCCGTAAGGCCTCCTCTCACTAGAGAAAGTTGTCTTTATTGAGGCGATCCACAAGGATAGCTATTGCGAGTTGCAGGCTCTCTGTAATCCTCCTTGCAAGATATCCTGAGTGTAGGGAGTTTCTTGGTCCCAGAAACGCTGCATCCCTTTGCCATGATTCCGGTATTCCTGCACACGTCTCCTTCAGACAAGAAGTGGATGACGTATTTCTCAGATGCCCTTTTATACGCACAGTCGTGAGAATACTAACCAGTGGTGATGTCATAGGCTGCCGCCTGCCAATGTCAAGTTCGTGGTCGTGTTTGGACTCATGCTTCAGACACCAGTCATGCCGGAGGCATTCCCCATAGCGGCCCCTAGGGTACGCAGCGTCTCGTTCCCTATTCTCAGGGAACCATAGTTACGCATGTATACGCAGACAATATATATATATTATGGACACTCTTATACATCGACCTACAAGTTTGATCCAACATATCTCATAAATGGTTTTGTAGATTACGCTAATGAATTGTAGCAATACAGTCCTCATATTTTTTTAAAGCTCAGATTCACCTGATACTGTAGAGCAGGGGATGGGTTTGGGACTCTTGCTCTGGATGGTAGCACAGGAAGGGGTGTAGAAGTTTGTGCTTTCCGCCTGGGTTCGACCCTTTATTCCGACAGGCTGGATAATCACCTTATACTTGCAAGAGAACTGAAGACCAGGAAGGCTAGCAAAATTCTCCTGTTCAGTGATGTGAAAAAAAATATATATTCTTTGTTCCAACTCCACTGAAAAGAATTCAAGGAGAAATATGATGACTGATCACCTATCAACACATCCAGCATAGCTGTGGGCCTCAATGGGAAAATCTATAGTTCATGTTTTCTATATGTCAAGAAAGATTAATTTTCATGCTGAAAAAATACATTTTCCCCTTTGAGTGTGTCATAGATTTTAATACAGTTTCTTACTTTGTAAAAGACACAATTACATTGATGAAAATCTAAATATTAAAGATGTTTAAAATAATACTTTGTCTCATATTTCTCTGCAATTTAGTAAATAAATATTTCTGGAATTTGGATGTGCCTCAAAATGGTGAGTTATCTGCCATGAATGATCAATGAACACCACACAAACCCTCTCCCCGGAAATTAATCTTATGTATGAGCTGTCAGAATGTGGCCTCGCACCTGTAGGGAGGATGGAAGACACATTCCTGACTGGTTACCTGGGTGATGAGCTTCTCCTGGGTTCTGGATCCATTGTGACTGCAGAATTCCGGAGACCACTGCACACGGTAACGATTCACAGTGGGATCTGAAAAGGAGAGACAGATAAATGCCAGATTCCGAAATGTGATTAAGGAGCACTTTGAGTGGGGGACGGGAAGTTTCTGTCAGTTTGTTCCACTCACATGCTGTTCCAGACCGGCTTCCAGTCTGTGCTTTGTTTGGTGACACACCTTGATGCTTTGCTTTCGTTTGGAACTATTTCTATGGGTTGGCTGAGAAGGATTACAGTATATGAACTAACTGGCCAAATTTTGTCTGAAAAATAAGTTATTTGTTATTAATTTGTTTATTTTATACAATTTATTTGTTACTATTTTATATCTCAGCAATTTCACACATCCAATTGTTCTAGTGTGTACTGAATATCAGCGCTGTTTCTTGTATGATACCGTTGTTCATGCAACAATTAAAAATCTTAATTAACATCCCCATGTCATTCCAAAAATGTATGCATTTCTTTCTATTGTTAAACACAAATATATATACACTCACCGGCCACTTTATTAGGTACCCCATGCTAGTAACGGGTTGGACCCCCTTTTGCCTTCAGAACTGCCTCAATTCTTCGTGGCATAGATTCAACAAGGTGCTGGAAGCATTCCTCAGGGAGTTTGGTCCATATTGACATGATGGCATCACACAGTTGCCGCAGATTTGTCGGCTGCACATCCATGATGCGAATCTCCCGTTCCACCACATACCAAAGATGCTCTATTGGGTTGAGATCTGGTGACTGTGGAGGCCATTTTAGTACAGTGAACTCATTGTCATGTTCAAGAAACCAATTTGAAATGATTAGAGCTTTGTGACATGGTGGAAGTAGCCATCAGAGGATGGGTACATGGTGGCCATAAAGGGATGGACATGGTCAGAAACAATGCTCAGGTAGGCCGTGGCATTTAAACGATGCCCAATTGGCACTAAGGGGCCTAAAGTGTGCCAGGAAAACATCCCCCACACCATTACACCACCACCACCAGCCTGCACAGTGGTAACAAGGCATGATGGTTCCATGTTCTCATTCTGTTTACGCCAAATTCTGACTCTAACATCTGAATGTCTCAACAGAAATCGAGACTCATCAGACCAGGCAACATTTTTCCAGTCTTCAACTGTTCAATTTTGGTGAGCTCTTGCAAATTGTAGCCTCTTTTTCCTATTTGTAGTGGAGATGAGTGGTACCCGGTGGAGTCTTCTGCTGTTGTAGCCCATCCGCCTCAAGGTTGTGCGTGTTGTGGCTTCACAAATGCTTTGCTGCATACCTCGGTTGTAACGAGTGGTTATTTCAGTCACTGTTGCCCTTCTATCAGCTCGAACCAGTCTGGCCATTCTCCTCTGACCTCTGGCATCAACAAGGCATTTCCGCCCACAGAACTGCCGCTCACTGGATGTTTTTTCTTTTTCGGACCATTCTCTGTAAACCCTAGAGATGGTTGTGCGTGAAAATCCCAGTAGATTAGCAGTTTCTGAAATACTCAGACCAGCCCTTCTGGCACCAACAATCATGCCACGTTCAAAGTCACTCAAATCAACTTTCTTCCCCATACTGATGCTCGGTTTGAACTGCAGGAGATTGTCTTGACCATGTCTACATGCCTAAATGCACTGAGTTGCCGCCATGTGATTGGCTGCTTAGAAATTAAGTGTTAACGAGCAGTTGGACAGGTGTACCTAATAAAGTGGCCGGTGAGTGTATATATATATATATGTATATATATATATATATATATATATATATATATATATATTCTTTTTTGTTCATGTAAGTTGTGTTGTCCATACAAAACAAATAATAATACAATGAAAGTCAGCAGTGTTTTTGGCTTTCATTGTATGAATATCTTCAAAATATCTTATTTTGTATAAAAATAAAAAACTGACTTTCTAGTTTGGAAAAACATAGTGAGTAAATTATGTCAGAATTTTCATTTTTGGGTGAATGATCCCTTTCAATACATTTGAAGTTATGTTTATATTAGGTGTCTTTAATTATTTTGTACTTGCATCGAAAAATAAGTACAATGTACGTATTGTTCTTATGTTGTATTGCAAAATACTTTTGAGGTGGGATACGAGTAAAGTTTGGGACATGTTTGGTGGTATGGGTAAATTTAAGGGTGGGTAAAGGTGCAAAGGAAGGGTGTAATTATAGATGTCATTCCAGAAATTACTTACAGATGTAAATACATTCAGGTAATAATAACAATATAAGTGCAATGTAAAAACATGCATAGGTGCATTGCATCAAATTATTCATTTAAATGTTATAATAGTAGTTAAAGACACCTAATATAAAGTGGGACCAAAAGGGTCAAAATATTTAAAAGCGTGGATAAGCCTTCCATTGTAATTAAACAAAATATTTTTTTTTGTCTGTATCAGTTAATGAACAGTTAATGATTCACTGGTAATCATCAGTAATGATCTATTTAGACCTTACAAGTAATCAGTGCTCAATAATACGCCCTGTAAAAATTCATGCTTGAAAATATGCAAAACCAAGCAAAATATGCAAAGCAAAGCAATCTTGATAATGTGCCTGACAGATTAGTATGAGGTAAATCTGTGGGACATCCATTAGAGAGATTAAGGGATTTGACATGTGGCCAATGTGAGTCTTAAGTGTGAGTTATTGAAATATAAAAAAATATAAAAAACATCCTTGCTGAGGTCAAGGAGAAGATTTCAAGCAACATTTTGCATGGCTTGGTATGAATGAAATGTTTTCGTTTCTATGACAGTTTTCATTTTTGAGTTTAATGTAGGATTAACTCATCACTCACTGACAGAACGAAACAGTTTAAATGTAATTTGCAGCATGCAAAGTTAGGCCGAGACATGTCTCGTCAGCTTATGTTAGCACACAAACAGGTCGTCACTTACTTCAGTAGTTCTTATCTCTTCCCAAACAAAGAGTTATTGTTCTTCATTTAATTACACATATTCTGATGCTTAACTCTTTAATAAGCACCAAAAGAAAGACATCCAGCACAGAACAGGATGTTTCCCAGATAAAAGACATGGTATATTGCATCTGTCATACCTGTCTTTTTCCAGTAAACCCGGACCTGAAGCTGTCCATCTTGATAGAACGGAGTGCCCACGTCTAATAGATCTGACTGGGGATTTATAAAGACCGTGCTGACTGTGGGTTCCAAATCTGAATGACATCAAATATGGAGGAAAGGTATAACTTTAAAAAATTCAAAACATTTACAGCTGTTTTCACTGTATTTCACAACACCCAAATGAGTGCTGTTATGTATCAAGTACAAATGAAGAGCAATTAAATAGTTTTGTACCAGATTGTCTTTGGCTTGTAGGAAACTGAAGAATGGCCTTGGAGCTCTTGATGGGGACCTGACCCCAGTATGAAACTGCCTGCAACTCCACAGTGTAACTCCTGTTCTCTCCCAAGTCATCCAGCTCAGCATAGGTAGAGTCCTACACACACACACACACACACACACACACACACACACACACACACACACACACAAAACCCACAGGGATGCATTTGATAAGTCACAGCTATACAAATCCAAAAGAAAAAGACAGAAAGAAAAAAGGAATGATCAATGTACCTATATGAAAATAGAAGGTAAGCCCATGTGGAATTGTTAACTACCCGGCAATCCAGAGGTGTCAAACTGATTTTACGTCGAGGCTCGAGGGCCATACAAAACGTCACCTTACGCATGCAAGCCAATAATATTTTATTTCTTAAACCTTGATGAAGCTTAATCACAAAAAGAGCATATGTGCTTTTGGACAAAACCCAGAATCAAATTTAGCTGCTTTATTAACCAATATTGGGAGCAATTTACTGATTTCAGTCACCAGAGACCTTGCGTTTACTTTGAAATAATTCAGATGAAATAATTAGGGAATATTAATCAAATTAAAAAAAGAGAAACCCACTCATTGGTCTGACCTGGATAACTTAAGTAGATTTAATAAGCCTCTGGAAGCATAACTGAAGATGAACATGAAAATGAAGTTAGGCCATCACTTCTAAAAAGAACCATTAGTTATCTTAGTGTGAAGAACATTTTAATGATCGGATTAACTTTTTTTCTACTATAAAGAACCTTTTGTGCAATGGATAGACCGTGGACGTTAAAGTTTAGATGTCAATAAATAGTGTTGGGCTCATTTCAATTTACGGGCCTGCTGCTCAGTCAAACACTGTCAGCATCAAATCAGTATTAGTGCATTATATTTATTTAATAATTTTTTGCCACTAAAAATAGTTCCTTATATATGGTCCATTATTGCTGTGAGCATCTCTGACAAACGTCAAAGTGGGACAATGAATTGGGTTGCCCTGGGAAAGAGTCACTCATAGATTTAGTTTCAATGAGATTCTGAAGTGCTGAATGCCATACATAATTAAATATGCAAACTACAAACTACCATTCAAAAGTTTGTAGATAGAAGTTTTTTTTTTTTAAAGAAATTAAAGGGATAGTTCGGCCAAAAATGATATTTAACACATGCATTACTCACCCTCAAGCCGTTCGAGATGCATATGTCAATCTTGTTTCAGACGAACACATTTTCAGTTATTTTTAGAAAATGTCTTAGACCCTTCAGTGGATATAATGTGAAGCAATGTTCCGACGGTTCCTACGCTACGTCCTACCTCGTACGCCGACTTCCATCACCCGTGAACACGCGTCGATCGTTGCCGGAAGTCAGATATTTTCATTTATAAACTTTTAAATATGTATATTTTTACGACAAAACTGCACGGATTACCCTCAGAAGGCCTTCGTTTATCCCCCTGGAGCCGGATGGATTACTTTTGTGAAGGATGTATGCACATTTTGGGACTTGAAGGAGGTGGACCCCATTGCTTCACATTATATCCACTGAAGGGTCTAAGACATTTTCTAAAATAACGGAAAATGTGTTCGTCTGAAACAAGATTGACATATGCATCTCGAACGGCTTGAGGGTGAGTAATGCATGTGTTAAATATCATTTTTGGCCGAACTATCCCTTTAATACTTTTAGTCAGCAAATATGCAATAAATGTATCAAAAGTGACAGTAAAGACTGGTACACTAATACAAAACATGTCACAATATTATACAGTATTTTTTAGCAAATAAATGAAGCTTTGGTGAACATTCTCTTCTTGGTGAAGTATCCTCTTTCAAAATCATTTTGAAAAATTGTACCAACCCCGTAGTGTATAATATACAACTGCTGTAGATAACAAAATATTGTAGAAATATCATACCAATAAAATAAATGAATACAAATGTTTTCAGCATATTTAAGTTGCAAGGTTTCTCCAAAATATCCCACAGGCCATATTAGATTCCCCTGCTTTAATCCAATAACATGAGATCTGATACTGTAGCTGAGTCACATGTTAATAATAAAACTACTATTAATCACATAAATCATAGCAATAGAGTACGCCGAATTCAATGTTAATAGAATTTTTATGCAGATTGTGTTTTTATAATCTTATAATCATTGTGCACAAGAGTAATCTGTTTAAAATCAATCTGAAGCATTTTTTTTCCTATCATCTTACAGAGCCCAACAGTGAAATCAGTGTGGTTTGCATTTGTCTGCATTCACTCAGCAACTATTTAGAAATGTAGTTTTCTGAGGAAAGTGTCCCTCAGCTGACCAAGCCTTCAAAATTATAAAGGCACAACTGCCATCTCTTGGATTCCTAAAGGAGGAAAAAATAAACTCTTCAACATGATCTCATTCAAAGAAAAACAATTCAGCTGTTATTGAGAGATTTCCTTTTCTCAAGACAACTAGAATTGATATGCTGTTTTTGGCTGTTTACCAAATGGCACCCATAAATGTTTGCATTTGCCAAGAGCGGTGATGCAATGCTGTACCACCCTAGTTTGGTGTCTGAAGCCCTCAAATTTAGGGCTTGGTGCGATCAAAGGCCCAATCCTGAGTTGTTTATCTTGCACTAAGATATCTAATTTGTTGTGGCTTGCTGAAAGAAGGGGCTGGGAAGCTTAACCCTTGAGGGGTTTGGGAACAATCCAGTGTACGAGAAAATTAAATAGTGAAAGACTGAGAGAAAAAGAGAATGTGCAGAGGCATGGGCAAGTCAGAATTACCCCATTTGCAGTCTGTCTCCTTTTGAGTTTGGGTGGCATTGTGTGGTCAGACCAGCTCCAGGAGAGTTTGTAATGGTTAACAGGAATGTCTAAATCTGCAGACATGCTCCAGCTGAGGCGGACAGACACAGAGCGATCTGCACCAAAGGTCATGTCGCTGACATGAAGTTCAGATGGAGCCGGGGGAGGGGCAGGATCTGAGAGGGGGTGAAATAAAGAAATAAAACTTACAGTACAAAAACAGTACAGTAGACATTTCGGATAATACTGTCTAATCTAATTAATATGAGAAAGAATAATAAATGATATTACTATTACTATTATTCTCCTAAAATCCCCATTTGAATCCCCATTAGATTACAGTCTCTTGATCCAACCTTTAGAGGATCTGAAGTGTCTGCTGGGGGTGGTATATCCTCTTGTTCCATGAACATTGACTGCTGCCACTCTGAACTGGTACCAGCGACCGGGTCGAATGTCTGTCAACCACACACGCTCTTCTGATGTCTACAGTACAGAACCACAGATGAATGAGCGTAGGAGTGAGCGTATAAATCACTGAAGGGAGTCAAGGACGAATTACTGACTGAACATATCATACTTCAAGGATCCCAAGTGAAGTTAAGCATTTCATTTTATGCCTGGCCTACATCATATTAATGTATTTACAAACTTTATGATGTTTACGGTTACAGATATTATTATATTACAGTAATAATATAAATAATCAACATTTGAATGATTAAGGATTAAAACCTTTCATCAAAGTTATACATGAATTTTGAACAATACCCGTTCTTGTCTTGGGACAACTTTGATAAACTTTGTTGATCCACTTCAATGTTGAGTACTGTATATTATAGTATAGTATAATATTATTTCACACTTACCCGTGCCACCACTTGCCACTCAGTGGCTCCATCCTCACTGGGGTGGATGCCATAGTTCCACCTCCTCTGCAGAACATTCAGCACCGGCTCCGCTGACACATTAAACTTGGAGGACCAGCGCACTTCCAGCACACCAGACTCCAGCTCCTCAAAGACCAGCTCCTTCCTGGGCTTTAGAGGAGCACCTGAAGATCAAGAGAATCCGATTAATACATTATACATTATACAGATCAAGCTATCCGATCTGTATACTGTTATGTATAATGGGTTTGTTTGTTTGTTTTTTCAAATATTATGGTTATTTTGAGGACATTTCATACATTTTGACACAGAACAATTTTACAAATTTAAAATTAAAATGATTAAAAATTAGAAAGCAGCAGTTAAGATTTCCCCTATATTAGTGGTTCTCAACCTTTTTGACTCCAATGCCCCCCTTTGTCCAAGACAATATTTTAAGGCTCACCTATCTAAACATATAATGGTACTTCTGGTACTTCTGTTGTATAAAAGTAAAAAACTAAAAAATATAATGTCAGGTTAACATCTTTATTTGTAATGTTGTTATTTTTTAGCATTTTAATTAAGAATAATATAATATAACTACATTTAAATAATATTAAGACTTACTGGGGCCCCCCAGGAAGTTTGGCGAGGCCCTTAGTGGGCCCTGGACCTCTGGTTGAAAACCACTGCCCTATATGCATGATGAAGTCTTAATTCTAATTGAGTGGTTTTTAATTAATCAGCTGCTAGCCGTTCCAGGTGAAAGAAAAAAGGTACAGTTATCAGTTGGTATCGACCACAGCTGAAGTTAAAAACGAATTGGTAACTGGGTTAAACCAGCTGTTTACCATCAGGTTCAGTAGCAGGTCTTACCCCTATAGAGGTTCTTAGGTGACTGGCATGTGTGTCCACAGCCGTTTGGGCAGCATTTCTTCTGGGTTGAACACTCTCCATCTTCCTCACATCCTTCCACACAGGCGGCTGCAAACCCGCTGGCTCTTTCTGGTGGGGGACAGTCACCCTGTTTCACCACCATCACTGATCGCAGGAACTCACAGCTCGTCACACACTCCCCATGACGCTTGGGAAAGGCATGCTGAGGAGATGTCATAGTGTACAGGACCAAAGTTTAACACCTGTAACTCATAGTTTATAGATTCTAGCAATTCATTTGTCTATGGATTTTCAAAACACACTTGTGGTCTCATTCTCTAACCATTTGTATGTATGTATTTGTACATAAAACTTGTGTGCATTCTCACATAGACACTTTCACACTGAAATATTGATTTATGAAACGTTGCACTTTATACGCAAAAATGTTTATATAATAGTTAAATAAACCATGGAAAATGTATAATATAATATAATATAATATAATATAATATAATATAATATAATATAATATAATATAATATAATATAATATAATATAATATAATAATGCAATAATCCCCCAGTATCAGTAATAGAACCGTTTCACCGTTTGTATCACTACTGTCATGGCAGTCGTGCAAATCCACCATATTAAAAAAAAAATACTACTGTTGTTGTGTCAGGAGGAAATGTAGTTTTAAAAGTTTTTTTAGGCAAGAATGTAGTTTTTTAGACCTAAAATTTGTGACTCATGTATATTGCTCATGGCCTATTTTACAATTGTTTAGACGCTTTCGCAGATGCGAGCTCCAGTCCATCAGCAGCGTTTAGCACTCGTAGAGAACAGCTTCATCTCGGCCCGTCATTCAGGAATTTGCCGTTGGTTCTTATGTAGATAGTGGTTAAACATGAGATATAATTCATTTGGGGCATATCGAACGGACAATTTTTGGCTAAGGGGAAAATTAAGCTTATATTTAGGCTATATTTAACTCAAATCCTGTTCTAGACTTTTGCTTTTGTACGTTTGACTGAATTGTTTGCTTTTGTTTATTTTTTATTGTCTTTTACAATGGCTATTGTTGTTCATTTAAATATTCTTTGATACATATCAGCACGGCTGTGATTCGGTCGTAGGTAATCACAGCGTGCTGATATACAGCCATATCGCACAGCTATGAGTGTGAAATCCGCTGAGGACAGCGTTGTATTCGTTATGTTTGTCCTTCTCATGAGAGCGCTAAAACAAATTCCTTGCTCTGACTCACTCATAAAGACAGTCTTTGCCGCCATCTAATATGGAATGCCAAAGCTGACTTAATTAAAAATAAATAAATACATAAATAAATATACAAATAAATGTAAAAAAGCAAAAATACATAAATAAATACATAAATAAATATACAAAGAAATGTAAAAAAGTACAAATAAATGAGTATTTATACTTTTATGTCCTTATTTATGTATAATTGTATTTTTTCACACATTTTTTTATTTTTTATTTATACATTTATTCATTTATTTATTTACACTTTTATTTATTTCCACATTCATTTATGTATATATGTTTTTATGTCTACATTTATTTATTTTCACATTTATTTATTTATACATTTATTTATTTCCACATTTATTTATTTCCACATTTATTTATTTCCACATTTATTTATTTACACATTTCTTTGTCCGTATGCTAATGAGGGGGGTGTGTTTTACCTCAGACATCAGCAATCGAGCTCAGAGTGGCAGTGCTGAAGCTTTGAGGCCACAGTGACACCTTGTGGTGTGTGACCAAACGAAACGCAAGAGGTGTGCGGACAATATCACATTTTAAGTCATGTATATCACCCTAACTGTATGTAGGGTAGCTATATAGGGTTAACACACATAGCACGCATGAACAGAAACTGCACTTCAACGGGTCTGATAGCAGGCACTTGGACATGGAAGCGCATGAAAGTATCCACTATTAATAACAGTGTAAACGCGGTGGATAGGGGCTGATAAGAGCTTGCGTTTACTGTCGATGAGACTCGCACACCAGCACAGAACGCGGAGAGAAACCAGCACACATTTCACTGACTCCTACGCAAGCATATTGATCAATGAGTTTGAAACTCATTGATCATACGTTTCATGATTTCGTATGCATAACAGGTGACAATTCAAATGCTTAAAACACAACCCATATTTCATAGATGCTGCTCTTAGATACTGATTAATCACAAGTCATCAATTTGGAATTATTCTTAAATCAAACAAAAGGGGCTCATGTAAACGCAGCTAGTGAGCCACGCATCTCACCCCATGCAGTGGAGGGGAAAATTATAATAAAATTATCTCATACATGGGCTTTTTTTTTTTTACAGCATTTCAGCTCAGACACACATCGCCCCGCCATAATTTTGCTCCTTGAGCTGTACAGTTTACAGTAACAGGTGGTGTTTTCCCCCGAACTGAATGAATCAGTATTTTAATAAATCGGTCTGAATGAATGATATGACTCACTCGTTTAGACAGTGACTTACCGCCACCTACTGGCTGTTTTATTTAAACATACAATTTAATTGATTCCATCATTTCATATTTCTATATTCATTTATTTTTAACATTAATCTCATAACGACTTTTATGCAATTGTATTTGCAGTGTAAAAGCATTCTCCTCTGTATTAAGATTTTGACTTTAAATGACTTAATGACTTTTGTTAATTTTATTTTACTGATAACAGCCATAGTGCCTTATTATAATTATAACTGAGTAGTTTATCGATTAATATTAAGAACTTGACATATATGATGATGTATAGCCTACCTATTTAATAAGGTTTGGGTAGATATAACATCAATTTATAGGGGGAAATATCACCACGCCCATGGGAACGACAGGTGCTGTTTGAATAGGCATGATGATGCTTCAGTCCTCCACTGCATGGGGTGAGATGCGTGGCTCACTAGCTGCGTTTACATGAGCCCCTTTTGTTTGATTTAAGAATAATTCCAAATTGATGACTTGTGATTAATCAGTATCTAAGAGCAGCATCTATGAAATATGGGTTGTGTTTTAAGCATTTGAATTGTCACCTGTTATGCATACAAAATTATGAAATGCGAACGTAAACCGTGTATTGAGTCGCGTTTCAAACTCATTGATCAATAAGCTTGCGTAGGAGTCAGTGAAATGTGTGCTGGTTTCTCTCCGCGTTCTGCGCTGGTGTGCGAGTCTCATCGACAATAAACGCAAGCTCTTATCAGCCCCTATCCACCGCGTTTACACTGTTATTAATAGTGGATACTTTCATGCGCTTCCATGTCCAAGTGCCTGCTATCAGACCCGTTGAAGTGCAGTTTCTGTTCATGTGTGCTATGTGTGTTAACCCTATAGCCTACCCTACATACAGTTAGGGTGATATACATGACTTAAAATGTGATATTGTCCGCACACCTCTTGCGTTTCGTTTGGTCACACACCACAAGGTGTAACTGTGACCTCAAAGCTTCAGCACTGCCATTCTGAGCTCGATTGCTGATGTCTGAGGTAAAACACGCCCCCCTCATTAGCATACGGACAAATAAATGTGGAAATAAATAAATGTGGAAATAAATAAATGTGGAAATAAATAAATGTATAAATAAATAAATGTGAAAATAAATAAATGTAGACATAAAAACGTATATACATAAATGAATGTGGAAATAAATAAAAGTGGAAATAAATAAATGAATAAATGTATAAATAAAAATAAATAAAAAATGTGTGAAAAAATACAATTATACATAAATAAGGACATAAAAGTGTAAATACTCATTTATTTGTACTTTTTTACATTTCTTTGTATATTTATTTATGTATTTATTTATGTATTTTTGCTTTTTTACATTTATTCGTATATTTATTCATGTATTTATTTATTTTTAATTAAGTCAGCTTTGGCATTCCATATCTAATGGCATAATATTGTAACTTTCACTGAAGTCCATATCACGATCTACGGACCATTTCTCTATACCAAACATGGTATAGGTATTATTTATATAAAATAATATTTATTGAACAACAACATCTAAATTAACAACAATATCCATTCTAAAAGACAATAGGAAATAAACACAAGCAAACAATTCAGTCAAACTTACAAGCAGCACTCTAGTACAAGATTTATATTAAATATAGCCTAAATATAAGCTTAATTTTCCCCTTAGCTAAAATCGATTTGCTCTGGAACAAGTAATAGATTAATAAGACCAAAGATTGCCAGTTTGATATGCTCCAAATTAATTATATCTCATGTTTAACCACTTTCTACATAAAAGCCAGCTGCAAATTCCCAAAGCACTGGCCGAGATGACGCTGTTCTCTGCGGGTACATGAGCGCTGAATGGCTGCTGACGGCCTGGAGCTCGCATCTGCGAAAGCGTCTAAACATATTGTAAAATAGGCACTATGATTATATATTAGTCGCATATTTGAGATCTAAATAACTACATTCACGCCTAAAAACTCTTAAAACTACATTTCGTGACACAACAACAGTAGTATTTTTAAAAAGGTAGATTTGCTCGACCGCCATGACAGTCGCCGCAAGCGGAGTAACGGTTAGAGTTCTACTGGGTAAATAATGCACGGCTGGAAAAGGCTCTCAGCCAATCAGATTCGAGAACCAGAAAGAACTATTGTATATAATATAATATAATATAATATATGTTCATTCATCCATCCAAACCCCTTGTGGGATTGGGATTATGGAGCCTATCCCAGGTTATATTAGAAATGTAATTATTATGTGACCATACTTATTTATTTCAGGAAAATAATATGATCTAGGATAAGTTCTGCATAAAACTGTATATGTTCATGTGTAGTTTAAGCCTATATGAAAGGTGTATATTGTTTTTCAGCTGGCTTCAGAAAATGGCTTTTCTTGCTTTTGGCACTACGTTCAAAACAAGATGATTATAACATTTCACATTTACATGAGTTGTGAATGATTTAATGTTGCTTACTCTTATACAAGTCTAAAATGATTGATGAAGGTCCTGATCAGTACTGACAAATGAAAAAACGATATTCATAGTTTTAAGTCCCCATTGCCCTCAACATTGCATTTATAGCCAAAGAACTAGGGAAAGCTAGATGTTACAAGGCCAAGAGTTTTAAAATGTAGAAAATCCACAGAAACAGGATTCAAGACCAAATGGAAATGTTCAAACAGATTCTAAGACTGTTTTAAAAAGAAGATCAGAGCAGAACATTATCATTTTGAACAATAGGAGACCACTTCTATGGTAGTCAAGTCTGTCAAGAAAAACAATGGAGGATTAATATTTGGAAAACCAGAACATCAAGGTCAGCCATTTTGTATTAGATTTTTTTCTTGTTAAGAACACATCCCAGAAACTACTAGATCTGTTAAGAATGCTGCGGTCTGTACCTCACATAAATCTCGACAAGGTCCATCTTTCAACTCCCAGGAGTCTTTGCATGGCTCCAGGCACTGTGAACAGACAGCAGAAGTTTGAGTATCAGCAGTCTCAAATGACTCTGGTATCATTCTTTTTCAAACAATCACAGCCAAATATGTTAAAGTCAAAAGCATTTGCTTTGAGTCACAAAACCTTACAAACCGTTCTTTAGTCTTACCCTTAATTACAATGGTAAGCCATTAATAATTATTTTAGAGTTGCCGGGACAGATTTCCCGAGAAACTGTGCGTGTTTACAGCATATCCCTTAATAAAGGAAAGAAGGCCTAGCTACTACAATATGGAGTTGAAGTAGATTGAAGCTACAACAACTGTACCTCAAATTGGAAGAGTTTGCAAGCAAAAACCTTGTCAATGCACAACATTTCCTATGCACGGACTAGGTTCACAAAACAATTATTATGTTGTTAACAATGCCAATCTCTAACCAGTTACTACTTCAGTCTATTTGCCTAAAAATAGATTTGCCAATATATAGTTTTCACCATTATCTGATATGAAAAGCAATCATTATGTCTAGTGTCAGTGTTGCCAATCTTTTTTAACATTGTTTTAAAACAATTGATTTCAATGAGTCAAAAGCTACTTAACCGCTCATAAGATAATTTTCAGATATCCATTGTTTGTTTTTGGGAGAGTAGATAGCGATGTAGTTAGTGACATTCACACTTATAAGGTGCACATCTGTAACCATGGGCACAGCCATGCACCTCAAACCATGAGATTCATCTGCGCAGAATAAAGGAGCCAAAGCACAAGTCACAAAATGACCAAAACAATGTTGTTTTTTGCTTCAACCATTAGAAGGCCAAAACCGAAACGCTGCGTCCGTGATGACATTTTGGGGAATACCCTCAGCGTGAAAGACGCTGTCTACGGGTACTAGCTTGAAACTAGTCCAATCTTGATTGGTGCTGCGTCATGACGTGGTATGTGATGGCATACACAGAAGCTACAAAGGGCACACAAAAGAGTTAGCTTCTGATAAGTTGAAGCAAGTCGCTTCAAGGCATGCGGAGGTGTGGCAAAGGGACGTAAACACTTTCAAGGGAACTCGCACTGCGTCGGTGATGACAATTTGGAGAACGAGTACCCACTTTGCCACACCGACACATGCCTGTCCTAGTGTAAAACTGTCCAGGCACAATTTAGGATGAGAGCACTCATGTGCCCAGCGTGGAAGGAAGGTGCAGACTATAGAACCTCATTAAAAAGTATGCGGGGTAGCCCAGCCTGCAGCATCACAAATCTCTTGAAGGGAAGCCACCGAAAGAAGGGCTTTAGAAGATGCCATGCTTCTTAAGCCCTTAAGGCCAGAGGGGAAGGCAAACCATGCACCTGGGAGGCCAGAGAGATAGCCTGAATGATCCAATTGCTGATTGTTTGCTTAGAGGCCGGGGATCTGTTCCTGGGCGACCCAATACTAACAATTGGTCTGACTTCCTCCATTGAGAAGACTTCTGAACATAAAACTCTAGAGCTCTGACAGGGCAGTGTAAATGAAGTCTCTCCTCTTCCGCCGACACATATGGTGGAGGATGGAAAGCCTGAAGAACCGTAGAGTGTGCCACATTAGATGTTGATGGGGTAAGACTAGCAGAGAAGAGACCTTGGAGAAACTCCAGCACTGAAAGCCACTGGAGTGTTTCCCGCTTTGTGTCAAACCCACGCTCTCTACACAAAACTGTGAAAACAGTCCATTTTAGGCCGTACAGTCTCCTCGTGGATGGAGCTCTGGAGTTGAGTATAGTCTTGAGCCCCCGACCTGAGAAAGCAGGTCTCTCCTGAGGAGAATCTCCCACGGAGGGCCTGCCAGGAGTGATATGATGTCCCAGAACCACACTTGGGCCGGCCAGAACGGGGCTACTAAGAGTAGACTGACCCCGTTCCAACGGACACTCTCCAGAACTCCCGGGAGCAGAACGATTGGGAGAAATGCGTACAGGGGCACCCTCGGCCACACCTGCACCATGGCAGCCCCAGAGGACCTGGATGAGAGAGGTAGAACCACAGTGGACAGTGGGTCGTCTACTGAGATGCGAACAAATCCACTTCCGCTGGGCCGAATCTCTCACAAATCGACTCACGGGCTTCTGCATCGGGATCGGGAGCATCGGAGCTGCCCGATGAGGACTGAGAGACTGCCGAAGTGTCGAGTCCCTCTGCTAGCTCCATCTGCCATCCCCACGACCTGAGATGCCTCGCCACCTCGGTGGATGTGGATGCAGGCTTGGCCAGAAGCTAACTCTGTTGTGTGCCGGCGTCCCTTTGTAGCTTCCGTGTATGCCTTCACATGCCACATCATGACGCAGAACCATTAAGATTGGACTAGTTTCACACGTGCCTCAGACGCTTTCATCCAGCACAAGTTCCCTCGAAATGGAGCTCGATATTATCGTTATTGTGAATTATTTATGCCACAATACTTGTTTAGTGAAAATCTGATATAATGACAGCCCTAGTTTTGAATAGTTTGTTTCTGCTGATCTGAATAGCTATGGTGGTTTGTAATCTAAAAGTGTTCTAGTTCTCAATTTGTTCAGACAAAGATTAGTTTGCCATTTTTTGTTGTTTTTGATCACACATAGGTGTTTGGAGTCTGTCATTACCTTCTCTGCAACTTGGAAAAGTCAGCGGAGAGATCCCTGAATGTATTCTGATCACTGACATTTGCATCCAGCACTTACGTAAATCACATGCCAAAACTCTTTCATTTCATTGTCTACACCTGACTCTCTCCCTGGCTCTTTCTCTTCGTTCACTCGCTCTCTCTCATCTTCTATTCTCCTTTCCTTAAAATTGACACTTCAATTCCTTGCATGAGTGAGCGTGGCTGCCTCTGGGGAATTCGCATTTCCAATTTCATGCCATGATGAGACACAGCGGTCACTATGGTGCTGGGGCTAAACATTGCTCTGCAGGAGAATGCTGGGAAGAGATGTGAATATTACACATTATGCTGATCTAGGAGCTGTCTTTACTCCAATGGTCCCATTTTCAGAACAGCATGAATGGACCTTTACCACCACCTTGGGAAAAACGTACACTTCCTTACGAATGAAATATTCTGCAGACGTCAGTTAGAAAGTTTCGCATTAAAATGCTTGTTAATCCAGGGATTTAGTATCAGGAGGAAACGATAAGGTCTAGGCGCATTTCCGTTAGTCTGTGTGTGTGTGTGTGTGTGTGTGTGTGTAAATGTTAATATATGTGTGTTTGTGTTGGGGAAACTGAGGTTATCCTGGGGCAATGTTTCTGAGTAAGAATGAGAGTGGGAAACACATTTATCTGGGAGGGCAGTAAAAAAGCACACCTTTTAAAGACGGCGCGGGCTTGGGGTGGTGCAGTCGTCGGAAACTATGAATAATGGGAGAGGCACAGGGGCAGTTAGAGGCAGCAGAGGAGGCAGTTTTATGGAGCTCAGAATGGCCAGAGCCCTGCTGAGATCGCCTGAAGCTTGTGTGTTCTAACACACGAAACGCTGTCTCAGAGTCGCATGTGCAGCTGAGAGAATTATGCTTTGCCTGCTTCTATTTCCCATGCATGTAGTTAGTTAGTTAGTTAGTTATTGTTTATTTGAGTGTCAAACACCTTTTATGGTGCCCAGCCCTCATGGGCTTATTAGACACAACAGCTAATAAATATGTAATGTAAATAAGCATGTAAATATCAACTTATCATGCACACTGCATTATGCCACATTTAATAAAACAAGCATTGTATAATTGAAGATTAATTAACTTACAATACAGTTTGTACAGTACTAAAGTTTACTGTTCATCATTTGCAATAGGTGTAGTACATAAAGAAATTTGTATTAAATCACTGGTGAATAAACTGCATTTTTGTGTCCAGATATATTCATTTATCTTTTTCTTTTCATTTAATGTATTAATACTTATAAATCATATCAATTTAGCTGTATACTTGACAGATCACAAAATAAGTAAATCGAATTGAGCTAAAATAATGACACCATTGTCTCCTGTTAAGCTGCTTTATTTAAATGAAAGTTTTAATTGGGAGATTACCAAATGTATTGTTTCCTTACTGAATTGCAACATTGAAACTGTTTCCCCAGTTCACTGTGAAGCTTCTTTGAAACAATCTGTATTATATAAAGTGCTGTGTAAATACATGTGACTATTTATTTATTTACTTACTTCCATGTTTATTTGTTTGTTTGTTTATTTATTTATCCTTCCTTCCTGTCTTCCTTCTTAATACCATAATGAAGCATAATGCCTTCATTGAAAAGAAAACTTAATTAAATAGTATAGCATATTGTTTTGTTATTACTTCTTAGAAACATTTTAATAAAACTGCTTCACTGCTTAATATTAAAAGACTTTTGTCTGCCAAATCAAGGTCATGTTGAGCGACCAACAAAGTCATGTGGTACAAGCAGGAAAACCATTTGCAGGAAAAAAATAATAAAACAGAAAATGATATGTGTTCCAAGGCCAGTAATTCCCTTAAAATATAAAAAAAAAACATAATATTTGTTGTATATGTATACCTATTTGTAAATAATAATACATTTTCATTAGAAAAACAACATTAAAAAATGTTTTGAAATTTTTTTTAGGATGTGTAGATTCACTTTTTTACCTTTTTACATTTTACTTGAAGGTTACAGTACACAATGTTAATTTTTTTTAATCATTACATTAAAACCTTTGATGTAAATGGTATAAAAGATTTTCAAAATGCTTCCTTTTCTTTATTGTAGACTCGTCATCATGGACACATTATTTGTCCTTGACCCACACATAAATTATTAACATAATTATTAACTTTGGCATTCATTATTTTCTATCAGATTTAGTCTTAAAACAAATAATGCCCTTAAAAATTGGAGAGTCCTACCTTGATTATGCAGCATTATATGTGATAGATTTGATATATGATGCAGTCTTGATAAACACCCATGTCTCCTCGCTCAATACTCTGCAGGTAATGCATTTTTGTGCAATGCTGAAGTCGATGCAGGGAAATGACCTCCTACCCACATATTTTATAATTGATCTTATATGACAAGTAGATTCATTGCCCTCTTTATACATTTTCATTCAGCCTCACCCTTAAACCTCAACCATTGTAAACAATAGCTTGTTTTGAGGAACGCCACATTCACATCCTTAGTCTCAGTTTATCAGTCTCTCAAATACAGCACTCAATGGCCCTTTGTGTAACGGCCCTTTATGATGCATTGCATGTTGGTAGGAAAAAGCACAGCATAGATCTAAGCAATAAATCACTTAAAGTATTTCAATCCAATCGCTTTCTCTTTTCTAAAGCCACCATTTGGCTTGTTCCAAACCCACTTCGCTTTTGTACGTGAGGCACCTGTAATCTCCATGAAAGCGCTCACTCCCAGTGTCTTTATTATACCCCAGCGCCAGTTAGTTTTCCGCCCCATTTCAGTCTCAAATCAAGCATTCCCTTCCACCGTACAAAATAAAGGTTATTTAAGAGCTGCGGACATGGAGATTGAGCTGAGAAGAAGCCTTGGTGAGTTCCAGTTCAGCTAAGATGCACCGCCCTTGAACAAATAACACAAACCGGGAAACAGTTTTTCAAATATTTTACTTTTTAGCATTACGTAAAAAAAAAAAAGACCTGTTTCTTTTGAATAAAATGGTCAAATATGAGACTGCTCCCTCCATACACTCTTAAAAATAAAGGTTCTTTAGTAGCATTGATGGTTCCATAGAAAACCTTTAACATCCTTAGAACCTTTCTATTGCACAGAAAGTTCTTTATAGTGGAAAAGGGTTCTTCGGATTATTAAAATGTTCTTTACTCTAAGAAAGAAAAATGGTTACTGATCACTAAAAGGTTCTTTGGGGAAACCAAAAAGGGATATTTTATGGCATCGCGGCGAAAAAAGAAGAAAAAAATCCCTTTTGGAATCTTTATTTTTAAGGATGTAAGTGAGTCTGGATAATGCATGCTTTGGGTGTTAAATGCTGGGCGGAATGCAAGAATCCCACCCATGTCTGGACCCAACATTTGGACAAATTGTAGTTGCTTTAAGGAGTTTCCAAGCGTTGTTTAATCTACCACTGAGACACTCACTTTGCCAGCCTCAGCAAATTATGTAGAGCAACTGTAATTGAAATCTTGCCCATGTCATGAAAATTGCTGGCACTCTCGGTTTTACAACTGCATTGGTGCCACAGCACTAATACTTGAACCAGCAATTAAACTGGAGGCTAAGAGAACTGTCAAGGCACACTAATTATTTCGCTGGCATTTGAATATCAAATGCCTAAAGGCCATGTGCTGCCGTAGCATAATAATATTCAAGAGCAGATCGTTGATTTGAGGGCCGCCTGTGTTCTTCAACATTTTTGTAGACGTCGTTCGAAAACTGAGCAATTGGTGTATGTAGTTCTATCATGCTAATCGCTTTGAAGAGTACTTCAGTGAAGAGCTTTCCAAGTGCTGTCTGAGTATAGCTATTATGAATCAAAAAGTGCCGATGAGTGGAGGCCACTGGGTTAACAGTCAATTCGAGGCAAACAGCCTAAACAAGAAGCATCAAGTTAACAGCCTTTGGAAGCTAACTAGCTTCAGAGCAGGAACATCTAAAGCCTGGGGCACACCAAGCCGACTTCAAAGAACGAAAGACGAAAACCAACGGTGCGAAGACGAAAACCAACGGTGTTGTCGCCTAGTGTCTGCTGCGTCTGGACCAAAAAGCTGTGCTTGAACACACGGCACAGACTACAGCTGACTGCAAACTAGCATGTGCGTTCTGCGCCTGCCTTGCAAGGAATTAACTGTCTATATCAGCAGTATCAATAGTCTATTTTCATCTATTCAAAAGGAGAAACCGAAACAAGTATATGAGATACATGCAGATATACGAAACTTAAAAAACGCAGCGCTTGCTTACCATTTTGAATATCAGTTATGGTAGTAACTTTCTTCTTTTTAAGCGGCTCATGTTGTTATGAAAATATTTGCGTTTTGGAATGCTCAGGTAGGATAACATAACATTAGATCAGCCTTCTCTCTGTACCGTCTTACTTACGTCGGACTTACTTGCTCTCTTTCATCACTTTCGCTTTAATTCTCGTGCACGGACTCCTTCGCTAAACTGAACATTCAAGTTCCCACTCTCACCATCGGCCCCGACGCCGATTCAACATGCTGAATCGGGTGAGCTGTCGCTGACGTGAGCCTGACGAGAGCCTACATGTGGAACACACCGCAAAAACTAGCCCGAAGGACGCTTGCAGTTATTGTGTCCCGGCCTTAAGATATTTTTAGTTCCAAGATGGCATTTTCAATCACATGTCTAGTTGGTAAACACTCTATTAGGAGTATAAATGGATGTTTGTGTGCACAAGCTGAATGCAAATGCTAGTTCTGGAATGTATGGTAAACAAGGTTAGGAAAACAAAAGCTGCAGTCTGTTATGTGTACGTACTGTATGCAGTTATATGATATGATACAGCTCTTTAATTAGATGTGCACAATTTGTAGTGAGATTGAAGAATTGGTTACGTTTAGAGGCCTGGTCACCTGAACGTGGCATGAAAGCCAACAGGAGTGAACGCAGTCTAAAATTTCAGCGCAAACCCCTGATGTTATGCATGGAAGTCCATCTTATCCTCAGAGATCCCGGACAGAGACTGATAAAAAAGTTTAGCTTTATCAAAGCTATGATTCCCATGGGCCATATTTCAACGAGAGATTACGGTTATTTATTTAATCAAGGAAACAATTAATTGAGGGACTCTTTACTTTGCTTTAGACTGATGTAGATGTGTCTGCATTATAAGGATAGGTCAGGATTAATATTTTTAACTGCAATACTTTCAAGGGGATGAATTAAATGAAGTTTGTTTTGTTTAGTTTTCTTGGGTTTTTTGGAAATGATTTTTGCGCTTGTAATTGAACATATACTGGACATCCCTAATTTTTAGCTTATATATTTGTTCACATTTTTTTGAGTTATCCTACTGAAAAGCTGCACACTCAGAAAACCCACAGACTAACTGATAATGACAATATGTAATTTTGCACATTCCTGCTACATGATGACAAGACTACGTGCATTATTTAGTTCGAGTATTACTAAATACATTATTACTGACACAGAGTTTTAAAAGCACATTGTCCTGAAGCTTTTGGACTTCTAACTAAATGTGCATGGATCCTGTATAATGAGAAGAAAGAATTTAAAAGGCATTGTCTTCCTTTGAAGCCAATGGAAGAAACTCTCTGGAGAATGCAGTAAAAATCCATGAACCAGTTGGCCAAATTTTTTCATGGATCGTAGAAGAGAGGTCAAAACCATGGCTGTTCCAGTGAACTCACCCCGAGGGTGATATGAAAACACGTGCTGCACCATTTCCAACCATATGCACACATACATCAATGCATTAAAGATCTCAAATCCTTAAAGCTGCCCCTCAAGCCATGAGAAGTCTGCTTAGGCGCTTAACTGTAACATGCACAATCATGAACTGTTTTGAAATATTTCAAAATGTCCAGATGTGCATTCAAGAACATTTTCTGCAGACTGTCATTGTGCGGACTGCAATAGATGGTTGATATGTAAAGGAATGCAAGCACAGAGCATTGAAAGGAAAAAGCAGCCCTCTTGAACAATACATCAAAGGGAGCTTTACATAATACCACAGTGAAATGTGTGGAAAATCTGCATTGGCAACTTGTCAGCTCAATTCCCCCTGTGCTACTGGCAAATTATTGTTATTTAATGACTAGGCTGCTAGAGCATGTTAATGTCCTCATTAAGAAAAGTGGGTTGAGTTCTTTACTGAAATTAGCATTTTGCCTTGAAGTGAAAAAAGAAAAATAACACCGGCTGTATAATTTAATGTGAATCAAAACACATAGCCTTTCTACTCCATTTGTATCAGTCTCATTACAGATGTGACCTCTAGCTTTGCTAGTGAATCATAATCTCATTTCGGTTTGACAACCAGCTAGCATGGATATAATAGTCCAAGGCGATAGCTGACAAATACAGTAGCTTTTACGATGATGTATGATGTCATTACGGGAGGTGCACAGGCATACCAATGCTTTACAGTGATAGATCTGTGTTGGCTTTTATGTCAAGCTGCTGTGAAATGCTGTGTAATTTTGACAGAAATTACCTTTGCACACTGTTTATGGCTCTGACACCATCCAAGGGATCCATTACTCTGCGGACAGAAGAGACAGATGGAATTGCGAGTCAGAATGCTGTAATCACCAGTCACATCAGACAGGCTCATTTGAATCGTGTTATTTTAATGTGCCCCTGCTGAGCAGAGAGGCTTTACAAAGGAAATGTCCTATTATGAACGCGTTATTCTTTTTTAAAAACACTGCCTTGAAAATTGCTCATAAACCAGAACAGTCAGTCTACATCCCCTCCCTTATTAAAAAGACTAGCAGGGGCACCTGAGCACAGAAACATCAGAAATCACTCATCAACACCTGAAATCACACAACTTGTTTGCATAGCAGATCTTGGAATGTTCCGTAGCGTGTCAGGAATCGTCACAGCGTTTTGCTTATCTGAATAACAACTAGTTGTTTTAAGCTTATGCAGCATATTTGATTGGCAGATCACAGGATAACGCTCATGGCCAGTCTTCAGAATAATGGTTATTGAATAGCACAAAAACAAAGAAAGGACAAAACCTTTTTGGTGCACTGTATATTTTATTGAACATGGTGGGGACTCTAAAGTAACCACAATATTATTGCTGCCAGATCTTGCAACTACGCCACTATGGGGAACAGAGCAACAAATCTATGTTGGCCTGTGGTGGGATCAATGGATCAAGCCGGCAGCATTAGCATGGTTAGTTCACATGCACGTTATGGATGTGCTCACATCAGAGCTACAAAAGCCTATTCTCATTACTAAAGGTATATGAGACATATATTTGACTCTTATATTGGGTAAACAACGTATAAGAGCGTTCTTGTATTAATTTGTATTCATGTTGGTCCTGTATGTTTTTTTTAATAAACATTTATAACATTTTCAAAAGATTTTACATTTAATGACTCTAAAATGTCATGTAATGTAACCAAAAAGTAATATATATGTTGCTTACACATTGAATACATGTGCGTGGAAACACATTTTGTTTTTTTTTTAACATAAGAGGGTAAAAAAAGAAGTATTTTTAAACAATTATTATGAATCACTTCATAAATATAATTACATTTTTGGGGGAAGTTGCACCACATGACATTTTACAACCTTGTCTTGTCATAAAAAAAGTCCAATTCTGAATTCCTAAATTATATAATTTCCTAAATTTCTTTTTCCTGTGTGTTTCTTCATATTGATTGGATCACAATACTTTGTTGGTTGCTCCACATGACTTTGATTTGGCAATATATAATATAATATATAATGTCCTTCTTTTAATTAGGATTTGTCACTTTTGATATTAGGACAGTTGCATAACCCTGAAATGTTTTGACTTTATGTCCCCCTAAAAAATAATAATGTGTGTATTCAAGTGTATTCTTTTTTATTGTTTTACTGATTATTTGAATAAATGAATGGGGCAGAAAAAAGCGTCACATCATTAACCAATACCTAAATGTATTAAATAATTTTATACTATCCTTTTTATATAATGAAGTAATAAAACTATACTTCTAAATTCCTATTGGTTCCTGGGAAAAAACTTAAGACATAGTGAAGCAAAAACTGATGATCAAATAAAACAATGGCAGTCAAACAGGATATTGAGACAGCTGAAAGATTTGTGTATTTCCACGTAACTGTCTGCATAACGCTGACAGATCAGGCGTTCTCTGAACCACATCAAATGCTCTCTAATTTCCCATAATCATTAATCATCAGAGATAGCTCATCATAGCTCGATGTTATGCCTCGCCACAGCATAACTTGACATTCAGCTCAGCCCGTCTAAATTAACCCATGACCCCGGTCTCCATTTGATACTAGAGGAAGGGGGATAATTGCCAAAATGGCTTCCCCCCTCGGGAGACAGCGTAAGTGGGCTTTAGGGATGTGGACACGAAGACAATGATCAGCAGATATGAAAAGCATTCATTCTGGTTTATTCCCTGCTCGGACATCAGAATGCCAGCAGCTGTTCAGGAACACTAGCTGTTGTTTGAGTCAGACAGCTCTGGAACGCTTTGAACCCATTGTGGAATCGGTGTTGAGACAATGAAGAGCTTCTAGACCAGTGTCTAATTTGATAGCATCTCCAGATGGACAGCTTGCTGTAGAATAAAGCATTTGATAAAAGAGACTGATGTGCATAGCTTCCCTCTGCACTGATGTCTAGATTAGATAACAACAAGACCGTCACTGTGATGAGGAGACAGGGCATTTGAAGATAGGAGATGATTTAATTTGAATAGATCTGGATGATTTGTATTGGGGGCCTTTGAATGGGCATTGGGCTTTTAATTGGTTCAGTACATGTTTGCTCATGTTAATGCATTATATAGCCTATGTCAAAAACATCTTTAAGTTGTTATTATTGTGTGGAATAGTAGCTTATTCATGAAACAACAAGAAAAGAAAACCGCTTTTGATGCTGAATAATGTTTGACACTCACTAAATCATCTTTTTTAATATTATACATTGAACAAAATTCCTGCAGTGTTACGTAATTTCTCTATCATTCATACTAAAGGTTCGCAAAACAATTGTAAATGAATTTGGCTATCTAGCTGTCTATTTCTGGGTCGGATGTCGGTGCAAACTCATGATAAAGATCAGGAAGGACATGAGGATGAATATAATCACGGTAACAAGGGAGTCTGTTGACAGCAGACAAAAAGTGCAGACACACGCACAAAGATCCCCCTCCACATGCCTCTGCGCAGATACAAACACACATAAACATATAAGGCATGCACACACACACACACACATACACAGAGGAAGTCTCTAAAACACACTCCTCTTCTACACCCCCACCCCAAACCCTCCCATGGTCTGTCATAACCAACATAAACAGAGAAGCAAGTAACTTAAAACGTCTAATGAAAACCCCAACCGCAGTGTTGAGACTGAGGCTGGCAGAGATTTGTACAGTTGTGTCTCCAGTTTTCCAATTCTATGCATTTGTTTGTTTATAGATAGAACTCCTCTGGGTGAATGGTTAGGAATTTGAAATGGATGAGCTGATGAGTGAGTTTGCTTGTGTTCACTGAGTAAGGTATAGCACTAAAAATAACTGTCATTTAACTAACAAAAGTATCTTTAGTTCATCTGATCAGGTGTAGAGTGATGGTACATTTACACAAACATGTTTTTATCAAATAGAGCCACTGAATGATCTATTTAGAGTTTTCTGATCTATTTGGAGTTTTAAATATTAAAATGAATAATGTATTATTGTTATTATTATTATCAACATATACTATTTAATATGAGACTATTTAGATCCCAAATCTACGTTGCATGCATATAATGGCAATAATAATGATAATTATGCTTATTATGTTTTCATTCAATTTAATCCTGCTGGTTATTGATTCAAAAGCAGAAGAAAAACAATAGGCTAATATCACTAATACAAGTAACATTATGAATAACAAGCAATACACAATAAAGCTAAACAATCTCTATCCGTTGTGAAAAAAAAAACAAGATGTTGCTTCATAATATAAGTTAAGTTAAATGAAGTTCAATATAAGTTTGGTAATAATGAAGTCGACTATATTGTTTTATAAAAAGGAAGGGTAAAAGGCACTGACTTTACAAGAGACTCTCTGATTCTGTACATTTGAGTACAACACACAATAATATATTTATTTGTCAACTCTTTTCTTACTTACCTGGAAATGTCTTGGAGAGAGAGCGATGCGCGTGCTGTGAAGGCTCAGGCACCTGGCGGCGCACCTCGTACGGAAAATACTGCCAAGAGCTGAAGACGAGTCCTGCCTCCTCATTACAACAAACCCACTGTTTAGTAACAGTATAATCCCAATGCACAAACCGATGAGCGCGTCGCGCATCTTGACGAACAGAAAGTGCCCTGTTGAACCGAAGAGCTTGAAAGTAAAAGTGGATGTGCGGGTGCTTGATGCAAATAATGAAAGTTCAATGAGCGCGTGTGGGCGGAGCTTCCACAGAGACGCGCGCTGCTATTGGACAGAGTTTGCACCCGTGAGACGCGCGGGATCAGGTGCATCTAGCGCATGCAGCAGCTGTTCAGTGAAGATACACAGCTTTAATGCTCTCTGTGGATTGCTCACTTCATGGCTGAACACAACACAACTGTTTGGTTGTGACATTGTTTCAGGGTAGCAATAGTGAAATTAGTATGATTAATTTTAACAAATAAAACATTACATCAAACAGTACATCACCCTGTTTGTTGGTTATAGGCTATGTTATGTTGATTTGTACATCTCAAACTAATAAGCATTAATAAGTTAGAGACATTTGGCATTGCTGCCATCTTTTGGTGACACATTACAAGTAGACCACAAAATAGCACATGGAACTCATTTATTTGATACAGAAATATAATGGTGCACATTATCTATTTAATTGGTCCCACTTTATATTAAGTGTCTTATGTACTAACATTTAAATTAATAATTTGATACAATGCACTTACTGGGTACATACATGTTTTACATTGTACTTATTGTAAAAAAAAAAAAAAAAAATACCTTCATGTGATTACATCAGTAATTAATTTCTGTAATTACATCAATAATTACACTGTTGACCCTTTCTTACCCATACCACTAAACCTGTCCCTAACCTTACCTGTATCACATCAATTGCAGCAAATGTGTTTTGCAATACAACATGAACACAATAAATACAGTGTACCTAACAATTATTATTAGTAGTATTTTATTTAATGTTTTGTATGTATTTATAAACATAGTATTTACAGACATCTACAAAAAAAAGTCTGACCATTTTGTCATCATGGATGAAAGATTTTTCGCCCTTAACTTTCTCACCCAAAGTACTAGATTCATTTTTACCAGGCCTTTTAAAATCTCAGCCAACATGCCATCCAATGCACACATTTTCCACTGCGTCTGTGTTGTTGAAATGCAGCTGTGCACGTGTGTGTCCAATAGAAACCCCACAACATCATGGACCATACCCTGAGCCCATCTGGAGGGGAGCAGGAAGCATCCAGGGAACCCCACAACTATTAAAAGGTTTCACTGGTAGCTGAGAACAACAACAGTTTTATGTGCGGAGTGTTTAAAACGACCACTAACGTATACCACAAGGTATCTCTAAACATACTGGCACTGGTCCCTCGCCCAAGGAATGGAGAAAATATGACGTGTTGGAAATATTGAACTAAATGATGTGCTTTTTTCACTCTGTCATGCGAGCTGCTGTAATGGATTGTGCTTCACAAGGGAGATCCCAGGGTGTTAACGAGACGCCCGTCCTCCTCCCTACTGGGTTTTATGAAGTAGCGAAGCTTCCTGGTGTTTTGGCAGCTGTGCTGTCAGCAATTTGGAGGTCTTTTTTTTTTTTAACAGGTGAATCACAATGACTTCCTTTAGCAGGCTGAGCTGACATCAAGTTAGTAGTAATTATCAACATCTGATTATTAATCTCATGCTGTGTAAGATTGTGGGTGCGTCACAATCAGCCCACTTGCTCCCATAGGTCATGAATCGGTACACTGTGTACATGGGTTCGGACCCTGACTCACTGCACAATGGGTCTTTCCCAACACCCACTCTTGCGTTCTTTGAAATTGACAATTTGTCTACTTACATGACTAATTTCCTGTATTTTGCCCAAGTGTTCAAGTAGACATGAAGACGGAGAAATGTGCATGGTGTTGTAAAAATTCAAGTAAAGTTTTGTTAAGCTTTATTTACACATTTTGATTTTCAGTGCTTTACAATAAACTTATTTGTTCAGTAGTCCCTACAACAGATAACAATTTAATTGTGGTGCTTCTAAAAAATAGTGGTGCTTTTTTCCTGTAAATCTTGCAATTTTGGAGTGAGTTTCTGAGCGAGATGAATAATGTGATTTTTTTTTTTAGCTTTGCCATTTTTCAGAGAAGGCATTTTTCAGTCTAGCGATGTTCTACTAACAAATAAATTAACAGTTTGCTTTTTCAAATCTTCAATCACGTCACATTGTTTATTGGATCGTGCGATTTATGTTTTGTGCTTCAGAATTCCCGTTAAAGGAACATAATGAGCATTGATACTTTGTTTTGTGTGGTGCATTGTGGGATTTTCTATGGTGTGATTTTCTATGGGTTGTCTCAATCTCAAGAACTTTGTGATTGAGACAATCCATAAAATGCCAGACTTCCTGGTCAGTGCCCTGACTGTTAATTTTTTTTTAAACATGTACTTACTTCACAACCATTTAAAAATGTGTTCTATATTGTGTAAATGTGTGTAATATGAAAGTAATCCAGACATGCTATATTCGTAACGTTGCTATTTTCATTTGACCTACCAGTGTCGGTTGCGTCTCTTCACTTTTTCCTGAGGCCTTATGTTTTTGCCCACTGTATAGTAGGGAAGTATGCATATTTGGATACAGCCTGTGACTCCATACTTACATGCGAGTATTCTCTGAAACATTTCACTATGCCAGATTGGTGCTCCTGGTGGTCGAACCACACACCATAACATTTAGGAGGTGAGGTGTCAGTCATTCCTCCTAAAAAAGCCTTTAAGCATCAGTCTATGTTACTTACACATAAAATTAGCCGTCTGTGACGTGTTTGTGGTTTCCTCACAGCTGTGGATTTCTATGTAAGCGTCTATACAAGTGTGTGTACTCCAGCAGGATAGTGTGTAGCATTGGTGGTTGGTGTGTGTGTGTACACATGGAAAACATGTTGGTGTGGGGTCCTCTTTTCTCCTGCAGCCTTACTGAATGGTATTTCCCTTGTGCTTCCAGGGAAATGCTTCGGCCTTTGGGGAGCCCAGCTCGTAAATACGGAGTATACAGGGAGATCCTTGCAGTTTATTTGGGCTTAGTAGGGGAGCATGAGGTAGGTTGATTTTGTCATTTCCCTCTTTTTCCTCAGAGTTAGGAAACAACCTGCTAATATGCCTGAATAACTTTTTATGGTGTTATTTTGGGAAAACCGAATTAACATGTTGATGTCAGCTTACAAATGAGTCACATTTACTCAAGAGCAAAAAATATGTGTAAAGTTAATGAAAATGAACTGCTTTTCAAAAATGAAGAATGTACAGTTCTTAAACTGATCAGAATGATGAAACTACTCACCATCTGGCAAGTGAAAACTATGATAAAATCAAAATGGAATAAAAGAGGGGAGGTAGGGAGAGATTTCATCATAGCCACTCTGATTTATTTATATTCTGATCAAGTATAAATGGAATCTTGGCAGTGGCACAAGGAAACTCATTTTTGTGTTAAAGCGAGACATTTTGAGGTCTGTCAGCTCAGAATGGGTTATTAGGCCTGACAGAAGATCCTGGTCGTCTTTGTTTAATAACTCTGCTGACATCTGGTGGGCATTAATGCCATTACAGAAGTACATTTAATGTTTTCCTGAGTACCAGATACTGTGTCAATGAAACAAAATCAGTTAAATGAAAGCAAAACCCGCAATGCACTCTGATACAGTCACTAATGGATGCTGTATTGACCATAAATTCGAAGGTTTCCATTATCCAAGTCATCATAGTGTAGATCACTGAGACAATGAAGTCTGGACTTCATTTAGAACTAGACTTTATTTGAAAACATTACTTTGAAAACACACAACAAAGAATCTAAAATAATTTGAAAGATTGGGAGATCTCCATTTCAAATACATGGGGCAACATTTCCTTTGTCTTTGATCTAAAATGTTCCCAGAAAGAAGCATTGTTTGTGATGGTATGCTTTATAATTTTTAATTCACCTTTTTTCTTATCAAAATGAATACTGTGCATATGAAAGAGAAGTTTCATTCTAGTTTGAACACACATTAAAATCGCATCTGACTTCAGGGCCACAACCACCATAGACAATGATCTGTGGTCAGTATTCACATTCTTTGTTTTTCAATAATTGTGACGGTTTACATAAATGTGTGAGAAAGCGACCTATTTTTATGTGATCTGCTGGGATCTTCATGATTCAGTTCCATGTCCCTCATCTATCCAAAGAGCAATATCTTGATCACAGTCAGAGAGGAGCACTTAATAACTTGTCCTGTTAATCTAATCAACTCAGTTAATCTTCTGATAATTAAAGGAAATGATCATTGATTTGATGGAAACAATTGACTTCAGAGACATTTCTACATCTGCTGATATCTGATATTCAGAACTACTGCACTGTGTCTGTGATTTTTTCTTGATATTTATGATTATTATTGTTTTCAAATAATATGTATTTTCTGGAGTTTTTAAATTAAGTCTTGTATTTACTTTTAACTTAGTGTACAATGTTCTGCAGGTAGCCTACAGTTGTCATAAGGACTGTTTTGTAAGAGCATGCATGAACACGATGATGAAAGCAAAGGTAATCTTTAATAAATCCACTGGCAGGTAAATCCAAACAGAGAGAATGGCTTTCAACACAGATACACATGAACAAGACTCGACAACAATGAACAGAAGTAGGCTAGAGGAACTTAAGTATACATGCAAATGAGGATAATTAACAACACACACCCGAACTAAATGAAAAAATCAAATCAATAACCATGACAACCAACTCACCTCGGGAAAACGGTGAAAACTGTAAAACAATGTCCAAATGGTGTGTGACTGTGACAACAGTATTTGTTTAGGACATATGTTTTGTTAAAAATAATAATAATAATTATGCTGCTATGACTCTGTGCAAAATCTAAGAAGAACCTAACCTCTTACCATAGATGCCGATTTAGCTCCGGAAGCCCTTTTCTGTGCCATGTCTAGTTCTGAGGAATTAGATGTGGAGAGAGAGTTGAGGCATACCCCTCCTCTGCTGCCCCACATATAAGTCTGTGAGCCTTTCATTCCTCCCAGATCTCCACATTAAGGTGTCAAGGTAATGGAGGAATCTGTATTCGGCTCACATAGTGTCTCCCACGCACTCAAATATTCGTGTGTGGAGGGGCTGTGTGATACATGAGGATGCCCGGGTTGAAGATTTGCTTGT